GCATGCACAGTGGTGGTGTGGGCCATTTTGCGCATGCCCTGTTTGGTGGTGGTGGCCCATTTTGCGCCTCATTGGCCCATGATGGTGGTGGGCTATTTTGCGCATGGGGGCCCAATGATCGGTGGTGGCCATCTGTTGCGCATGCCACAGTGGGTGCGGTAGGCTGGCCATTTTGCCTCATTGCCCAGCGTGGTATCGGGCGGCCATTTTGCGCATGGGCTCGTGATGGTGGTGGCACTTTTGGCATGCCCAGTGGTCTGTAGCGGCCATTTTGCGCCATGGCCCATGTGCAGTGGTGGCCTATTTTGCGCGATGACCGGATGGTGGCTGGCCATTTTGCGCATGCACAGTGGTGGTGGTGGCGGCCATTTTGCGCATGCCTCGTGATGGTGGTGGCCATTTTGCGCATGCACAGTGGTGGTGGTGGCCATTTTTCGCATGCACAGTGGTGGTGGTGGCGGCCATTTTGCGCATGCCTCGTGATGGTGGTGGCCATTTTGCATGCCCAGTGGTTGTGGCGGCCATTTTGCGCATGCCCAGTGGTGGTGGCTATTTTGCACATGCCGGATGGTGGTGGCCATTTTGCACATGCCTAGTGGTAGTGGTGGTGGCCATTTTGCGCATGCCTAGTGATGGTGGTGGTGGTGGTGGTGGTGGTGGCCATTTTGCGCATGCCCAGTGGTGGCGGCGGCGGCCATTTTTTAGCACAAGCGTGAGGCGGGCATAGCTATTTTGGCACATGTGCTCTGGTCGTGGTGGCCATTTTCACTCATTCAGGGTGGCAGCCGCCATTTTCGCATTTCCAAGGCTGCACGGGGCTTTCTCACCGGGGGCAGCGACGCCCCGCGTCGTGCACACGCTGCGGTCCCGCCCCTCCTGCCGGCACGCAGGGCAGTGGAGCCCCATCTCTCGCGTGCGCGGTGGTACCGCTGTCAAGCGCCACACCGCAGTGGCGCCCCGCCTCACGCAGGCACGCGTCGACCCCAGGCAGTTCCACACAGCTCGGGCGTGCCTGCCTGTCTTACTAAGGCGCCGCAGCCCCGCCTCCTGCCTCACGTATTAGGTAGGGTGGGCGGCCCCGCCTCCTGTCTCACTTTTACATAGGGCGGGCGGCCCCGCCTCCTGCCTCATGCTTACGTAGGGCGGGCGGCCCCGCCTCCTGTCTCACATCATACGTTATACGCAGGGTGGGCGGCCCCGCCTCCTGTCTCACGTCATACGTTATTCGCAGGGCGGGCGGCCCCGCCTCCTGTCTCACGTCATACGTTATACGCAGGGCAGGAGCGCGGCCCCCCGGCCCTACGTAAGGAGGAGACAGAGGCGGGGCCCCCGCCTCGGTAGAGTGAGACAGGGAGCGGGCCCCCCGCCCTACGAAGAGGGGAGACCAGGAGCGGGGCCCCACCGCCCGGTAGCGAAGAGTGAGACGAGGGAGCGGGCCCCCCGCCGCGGTGAGCGAAGAGTGAGACAGGAGGCGGGCCGCCCCCGGCAGCCTACGTGAAGAGTGAGACCAGGAGC